AGGGTTGGCGAGATCAAGCCCCGTGATGAGCTCCATGCTGGGCATAGAGCCTGCTTAAGATTCTCTCTCTCCCTCTCCCTCTGCCCCACCCCCTTCTTTAAAAAAAAAAATCACACATTTAAAAAACAATAAAAAAAAAAAAATCTTCTGCAGGGTGGACTGAACACTTCAAACTAAAGTCAATACAAACCTAAGAAATAATACAACAAATACCAATCATCTTTTTAAGGAGAAACAGAATTCATCGCCAAACTCTGAAGTTTAGAAAAATTGGGGAGAAATTTAAAATACTGCTATTCACTGCTTGCATTTAATAACTTTTAAGTCTCTAAAGTCAGTTTGTTAGTTGATAACCATTGAAGAATCAGGAGCGCCTGGGAGGCTCAGTTCACTAGGCATCCGACTCTTGGTTTCGGGTCAGGTCATGATCTCAGGGTTGTGGGATCGAGCCCTACATCAGGCTCCACTCTCAGTGGAGTCTACTTGAGATTCTCTCCCTATCCCTCCCCCTCTGTTTCTCCCCCCACCACACAAACTCTCTCTCTCAAATAAATAAAATCTTTAACAATAAATAACCAGTGAAGAATCAATATATTTGGTCTACCCACCAAAATATTAGACTTGAGGTGCTATGTTAATAACACTGCTTTATTCAGACAATAATCATGATCACAAATTTACAATGAGAATTAATCTTTCTATTAATTTTTTTAAATTTACCAAAATAGAGACCATAGTATAATATGCTTGTCATCCAGCTTCAACAATTCTCAACATATGACTAATTTTTTTTTAAGATTTTATTTATTTGTCAGAGAGAAAGAGAGCACAAGCGGAGGGGAGTGGCAGGCAGAGAGGGAAGCAGGCTCCCCGCTGAGCAAGAAGCCCAATGTGGGAATCGATCCCAGGATCCCGGGATCATGACCCGAGCTGAAGGCAGCCGCTTAACTGACTGAGCCACCCCAGGCATCCCCATATGACTAATTTTAATTTATGCCTTCACTCTTCCTTCAGTCTGGATTAATTTGAAGCAAATTCCAAACATCTTATTTCTTGAATTAACTTTACTCCAGTGGTTTATTATGGACACCTCATATGCTTCGGAGACTGATAAAAGCATCCTTGTAAATCTTTCTGTGGACATAAGTTTTTATTTCATGTGGGAAAAACTTAAGAGTAGAATTGCCAGATCACGGGTAGGTATCTGTTGAGGTTTGTAGGAAACCACCAGGGCCTCTTCCAAAGCGGTTTGTGTAAGAGTTCTAGTTGCTCCAAATCTTCACCAGCATTTGGTGTCAGTCTGAATTTTAGCTGTTCTAGTTGATGTGTTCTGCTGAATTAATTTATAAATGCTTTTAATTTTTGATGTGTTTTTAAAACTATGTAAGACCAACATCTCTTATTTTGGGTAGGTTTGCAAAATCGTTTTTTAAAAAGTAATTCAAGCTAGGGCGCCTGGGTGGCTCAGTTGGTTGAGCGACTGCCTTCTGCTCAGGTCATGATCCTGGAGTCTCGGGATCGAGTCCCGCATTGGGCTCCCTGCTCGGCAGGGAGCCTGCTTCTCCCTCTAACCCTCCCCCCTCTCATGTACTTTCTCGCTCTCTCAAATAAATAAATAAATCTTTAAAAAAAAAAAAAAGGTAATTCAAGCTATATAAAAATAAACAAATATGTAAATTTTCCTCATATCATTAAAAAAAATTCAAGTATTTCTCCTGTAATGCAATGCACACATTACTGAGAAATTGCACATACTGCAAAACTGTGGATTTTAAAAATAATAAGGTATGGGGCACGTGGGTGGCTCAGTCGTTAAGCGTCTGCCTTCGGCTCAGGTCATGATCCCAGGGTCCTGGGATGGAGCCCCGCATCGGGCTCCCTGCTCTGCGGGAAGCCTGCTTCTCCCTCCCCCACTCCCCCTGCTTGTGTTCCCTCTCTCGCTGTGTCTCTCTCTGTCACATAAATAAATAAAATCTTTTTTTTTTAAGATTTTTATTTATTTATTGAGAGAGAGAGAATGATAGAGAGAGAGCATGAGAGGGTGGAGGGTCAGACGGAGAAGCAGACTCCCTGCCGAGCAGGGAGCCCGATGCGGGACTCGATCCCGGGACTCCAGGATCATGACCTGAGCCGAAGGCAGTTGCTTAACCAGCTGAGCCACCCAGGCGCCCAATAAATAAAATCTTTTTAAAAATAAATGAATAAAAAATAATAATAAGGTATATGAGAAAAACAGGGTTGGCACAAACCTAAGAACCTAGGTAGCCTTGTGACAGAGGACTAACAAAACAGTGGCAACACTACTACCAGCACAACTAAATTTTAAAAAAAACCAAAAAACAAAGACTGAGTTTTTTCTAAGAATCTGAAGCAGATAAGAAGCAACAGTCAGCTGTGAGTTCAAAAGCTTCATAATAAAGTCATAAGGTAATCCGGAGAATTCTAGATAGCATTCTTAGGATTAACAGTTGGAAATTTTTGTATATTCTTCGACATTTCAAACTTCTGCTCCAATTCCAGAGTCTCATCATAGTACTCAGATGACAAGTAGATCAAAGGTCACTTTGGGTTTAGCACCCCGCATAATTGTCATCCACTGGTCAGACGTTGCTCTTCACGGACACGCCTTTCTATAAATTGCCTTCCCCATTCTGACACTTAATAGTAGCATTCCGGAACTTGATCAAGTTTTAGCCTGACCTCCAGGAAGCATCTTGTGTGAAAAGCCACATGTACGTCTTATACAAGATTACCTGAGTATCGTGGGGGCAACCATTTGATGAAACGGTACTATGAAAGTACCGGCAGTGAGATGAGTGCTAAATGAAAGGCGTTTGCAGTTTCTTTATCACACCCACCCTCACTCACATTGCTTCCAGGCGCTTTAACACCTGCAGTACACTCCTGTACCAGGGTGCGTATGGACAGCCTCCCACCATTTAAAAATGCATATTCAGGGTGGGGAGGGGAAGTGCAAACTACACTTTATTAGAATAAACTGAAGCACACAGCTATTTTTAATATGCTAAAGGCTGATACTGTCATTTACACGGAGGAAACAAAATAACGTATAGAGACAAATTTCCACAAAAACAATCAGCCCAAGTGCATACAAATCTGGGGAGAACATCTCCTCAGAGCTTGGTAAAAATAACTCACCAGTATTATGGGTATCACTTTTGGTGCTAAAGCTAATAAGTAATCTCCAAACAAACTGTAAAATATTGTTTGAAAGTCTGAATTCAGATAAATAGGAATTCTTAACTTCAAATGTAAAAAAAAAGTATATGTGTGCTTGGTTTTGGCTCTTGTGAATCAAAGTATCACCGGTCAGGAGGATCCAGTTTACAATGTACTTTCAGTTCTCAAACCTTTAGATTTGTTCTTTTTATATGTTAACTTCTTATTTTTAAGTAATTTTAGACTGTAAGATTGTAAGAAGGTTACCCAAAAACTTCCCATTTACCCAGATTCCTCAAATGTTAACACTCCAGAAGGGATGACCCTTTGCCCTTAAATACCTCAGATCACATTTTTTAAAAACAAGGATATTCTCTTAATTTAATACAAATATCAAAATCAGTAAATTAACATTTATTGACAAAATACTATTGTCTAGTCTACAAAATTTATTCAGATTTTTTTCAAATGTCCCAATAATGTCCTTTATAACAAAAGAAAATCCTGGATCATAAACTGCATTTTTTTCTCTCTTTAGACTCCTGTAACATAGAACAGTTCAGTCTTTTTTTGTCTTTCATGACATTGACATTTTTAAAGTGCACAGGCCAGTTATTTTGTAGAAATCTCTTCATTTGGGTTTGTCAGATGTTTCCTCAAAATGAGACTCACACCAGATGTTAATTAAATTTATGGTGGATAACTGTTTTGCAATATATACAAACATCCAATCATTATGTTGTACACCTTAAACTTTTACAATGTTATGTCAATTACATCTCAATAAAACTGTAAAAAATAAAATCAAACACAAAAAAAAGGAAAAGGAAAAAAAAAGGAATATGAGACTCAGGTTGTGCTTTTCTGGCCCAAGTACCACAGTAGGGATACTGGGTACTTCTCAGTGCAACCTATCGGGAGGCAGGGATACCAGTCTGTCCCCTTTACTGGGGACAGGGACGTTGATCACTTGGTTAATGTGGATCTGACAGGTTTCTCTATTACAACATCGTAACTTTCTAAGGTTACTATGTTTCCTTTTATAATTAATAAACATCTTATGGGGAGATACTTTCAGACTACGTCAATATCCTACGTCCATTAATCTTTTACTCATTAGTTTTAACACAGACTTTTTCTTAATTCCCCACTTTCCATAATTTCTGAGTTTAGCATGAAGCTCCTTTTATCTCATGTCTACCTGAATAAATGAAGCTACAATCAGCGTCCACCCTGCTCGGGGTTATTTGAGGCACCGTTTTAAGATCTCAGGAATTCACACATACAACCTCAAGGGTAGGATCGCACAAGGACACACAAATAAAGAAGAAACCCAATCTATCTTTTCTTCACATGAAAATGGCAGTGTACCGTTGAGGGATTCTGAACTGGCAGCTGGGAGCTGTGTAGCATTCCTTGTCTTCAGTGCTCAGGAAAAAAAGGTCCGGTACTGTATAGAGTTTTATACCAAAATTCCTGTATTTCACAGTTTAAAGAATTCATTCAGGAGAGTAATATATGTCCAGTAGCAATAATATAAACACTTCATCTTAAACACTTTTCTTTAAAAATCTTAGTAATTTAAAATATTTCATATGTTATCATTTTTCAGGAAAGACTCCCCTTTCCCCCAAACCAGAATTCTCAGGTGAATTTTTTAATATGTCCTCTTTTTCACGCCCCTCCCGCTTAAAGCTCTTTTTTCTCTCCTACTCAAGACTTTACGTCCCTAGACCAGAAGCAATCTAGTCAAATCTGACACAAGGTAGAGGGATGAATGAGCGCTCTTCTAGTCCTAGATTTTACAAAACTGTCCTTACCTGCTGTGGAAAACAGGTGCGGACTGAGTGCTCTGTGTAACCAAAAGATGGCCCTTCAAAGACAGCTGTTGGGAGCTTCAGAACTTCCTTCAGAAACTGGTCAAACTTGCTAAATATCATTAAGCCATTGGAATCTGACATCTGGGAGAAAACATCTATGAGAACAAAACCAAATAAAGTCAAACTAGAAAGAAATATCAACTTTTTATAAATAAATGACTCTATGTCATTTGTGTAAGTCAAAAAGTATCATTAAAAATTACCATAAAGCTAATATGATTTTTAGTTAATATGTATTCTCCTTCTTATTAACACTGTATAGTTACTTACTGACCAGGCCCCTCTCTCCCACATACTTAATATATACCTAAACATCAAACCAAATAGCCATTCCTGTAGGTCTACCTACCTACTCTTTTTGAGTGTGCATAAATGGATGATAAGGTTTTTATTTTATTTATAACTAACTTTGTTCCAAGAAGAATTTGTAGCAGCATGCCTTTATCTCTTAAAATTTATATATGTGTTTATATAAGACATACACATGTTTGGGTGTATGAATATATTAGCACATAGGTTATGGGGTATGAGATTGTATTATATTTATATATTCATATGCTAATAATGTAATGAATACCTGTGAAGGAATAAATTTGAAGCAAGCATAAAGCATGTTTAAAATATTCCATTCAGTGAGTTCCAAAGTAGAATAGAAAGAACTCCTATAAACTTTTCTATCCCAAGATACTTTGATACTGTAAGATCTTATTTTTACCATAAAGTCTGACTCAAGCAGATGGGAAAGAAATTTCCAGTATTTACTACTTCTTTATCTTCTTGGAGAGAGTCTCCTCTCTCCAGTTAGCTCTTCCTCTCTTCTCATCCATGGTCAGGGAGAAAAAGAAAAATCACTAGCAGCTCAAAATCACTGTGACAAAGAAATGTGACCTAAGCTTTTTTTTTCAAACCATTGAGCTTCCTTACAAATAAGTGAATTAAATATGCACAGAAAAATCATTTCCTGAGGCTTTGCCAAAAGTGGCATTTTGAAAAGTCTTATTCTATATATTCATAATGAATAAGAGTATTAGAAATATATATGTAATTGATATATGTTACATACAAATATGCATTATTCCTTAGGTTTAATCTGAGGTATTTATCCTGAAGCACTAGGTGTAAAACAAATACATTTTAAATACATTAACCAAAGAAAGATAAAATGTTAGAATATCAGCTCCACAGAGTAACTTTTTAGGCATCAGAAAACAGGAAATTATCAAAGGAATGAAAACCTGCAGTACATCCTCTCTAGATAGCTGCTACTTTGATGTTGAAGAAAAAGTACTAGATGCTCATGGCGGGTGGGGAGATTCAATGAGAAGCTAAAAGAACTATGTGGTCCCAGTAAAAAATAAAATCAATCACTTAACAAATACATACTAAGTTCCTCCTGTGTGGTCCAAATGCCAAGCACTCTGTTAGGTGTTGTGAAACATGACAAAGAATTATGATATACAGTCTTTATCCCCCAAGAAACTTTCAGTGTAGCTGAAAATATAAGATACATCTGAATCAAAGAGGAATAAAGCGCTAAATTGACACTAAGTGGAACAGAAAGAATAGAGGCATAAAGATACTTGTTAAGCCTCATTATTTGTCAAGCACCACAAAGTTACCACAAGTAACCATGGCTGAGGCTGCCTATAGCCACCCAACATTATCTCCTTCTTTCTTGGTAATAGAACATTAATTTTGTTTTGTGCAACAATGTACCCAATAACTAAGAGACTAAAATGTACAGCCTCCTTTTAGCAAGGGGTGCTCATGTGACTAAGTACTAGCCAATGAGACTATCATTAGAATGGTTGTGAAGGACTTCCAGGAAAGCTGGTTAAAGAAAGCTGACTAAGCTGGAAGGCAGGCCCTTTTTCCCCTCTCATGCTCTTCCTCCTTTTGCTATCTGAAATGTAGTTATGATGGCTGGAGCTCCAGCAGCCGCCTTGGACTATGTGGTAATTGCAATTTTGATACTCTTGAAGGGTAGAAAACTAAGGTAGAGAAAGCCTAGGTCCCAGATGAACTACCGAATCAGCCCTGGACTACCTAACCCTAGACTTCTTTTATATAAAAGAAAAATAAACTTCAACTTTGTTTAAGACACTCTTATCCTGGGTTTTTGTTTTCAAGCTACAATCCCTAATACTAAGTGCTACTATACATTACTAAACATTACCTCATTTTACACTCACAAAAAGGTAAGGCGTATGTGTGTACATGTAATTATTTAAATTGTATAGATAAAGAAGCTAGCTTAGAAAGGTTAACTTGCTTATGACTAAAAAGTTGGTAAGTAGCTAAGTAAAGATCTAAAATTATACTTCTCTGACTTCAAAGCAATCCCATCGTACCACACAGCTTCTTCAAAATATAGTTTAGAACAGCTATGAAAACACAGAGGCAGGAACTGTCAAGAAAGATCGAAAAGAAAGGAATTTAGAAGCTAGGCCTTGAAAGGTAGAACTTGGAATGATGAGATCAAAACAGGTTGGAAGTGGGGACTGGGGGACACAACCAGAGAAGAGGGGGAAACTTTCTACGGCCACTAGTATTTGTTAGGGGAGGTAAGCAGGAAACAGTGCACTGAGTGCATTCTTCAACAAGAAAGATAATTTAGTTTGAGAAATAAAGGGAAATAAAGACAGAATAAGAAAAGTATCTGGTATGAAAGAAAGCTTTGAAAGAGAAAGCACTTTGAATTTGGCTTAAAAACTCTTACATAGGGGAGAAATATTTAAGAAAACTAAGTTTTAATAAAATTAGACTATTAGTGACCAGCAGAATGGATAAAAGAGGAAGAACAGGATTGGAGAAATCAGCTAGTAAACCCTATGAATGATGCACAAATGAGGTAGGGAGTGTGTGAATTTCAGCAGTGACAGTGGGGGGGGGGGGGGTCAGGGTCACCTCCAAGATATTTCAATGCAGGAAACTACAGCTGATGGCAAATTGGATTAGGGAATAAAGGAATTTAAGAAGTTAGGATTATTTTAAGTTTCTAGTATGGGAAAATGCTGAAAATTCTGACTGAAAAAAAGAAAATGAAGACAAAGATACTTAGCTTTGTACATAAGTATATTTGAACCAACCAGCAAATGTCCAGGTAGAACCACCCTGCAGGCAGTTAGAACCAGAGTACTGGGCCACAGTTCAAGATACAGAGCTTTGGAGATATTGCCAATCATATGAAAAATTGATGCCCTTAAGGAGAGGAGCGCATAGTGACTTCATTTTGAAATAGCTGGGTTCTATTCTTATAATGAGGAAAATAACCTGAATGAAAACAAAGGGTCAGTATGGGATGTGGTGAGGTGTGTAACTACTCAATACCTATTTTCCCCTGCTTGCTTCCCAGGTGAACCCTGTGTCTCTATTGCACAATGGAACCCTGTCTCTATTGCACAATGTAACCCTAAAGTGGATTTCTGGGAATGCTTCTGCTTTCCTGAGAGAGGCATTTCTTTCTTCTTTCTGCCTGGAAAGAGAATGTGAGGCCCATCCAGCAATCACTTAAGATCGTAAGGAGGAAAGCTACATGGCAGAGCAGGACAAGAGGATGGAACCTGAGTCTCTGACAACATCCTTCAGTCATGGTACCAACTCTGACTTACCAGCCTTTGGACTTATTTTTACAGGAGAAAAATAAATCCCAATGTGTTCAGCCACTGTTAGTTATGTTTTTTGTTGCCACTCAGTGTATTAATAACTGATAAACTAGCATGTGATTAGGTTGTGCTCACTAACTAAAAGGTGGAAATATTCAAGACGGGAAACTAATGCTACCAAGTACATAAATACAACTATCTACAGTTCCACAATCACAAAACATCTGTGTATTCACTGCACTGACAAATCTACACCTGACTCATTCAGAGTAATAAAAGGGAGTGACTGGATAATAAAATGACTAACATCTCCCTTCAAAAAAGTATTATTTTCTGTTACACTTGGTTACCATGTCATAAAATATATTTAGAGTAATCAATTTTTTAAAAATTCATTAAAAAGAAACTGTAACATAATAGGGCCATATTACATTTACAAGAGACAAGCAGAAACATGTTTCTTTGTTTGATTTAATAAGAGAAATACCGCCAGACCCCAAATTGAAAGCATAGTGAAGTAACTGATTATTTCCTGAGTTACTGGTTTACAACAGTATATACATATTTTTTTTAAAGATTAGGCTTCTTTTATCTGTAAGAAAAATGGTATAAAATTACTGCTAATTTTTTTTATCTTAAATGAAGTATAACAATGAAAGTCAGTGTGATTTACTATACACAAATAAAAAGATCTTACCAAAGAAATAAATAAAAGACAATAAATTTAATAAAAAATTAAACTAATCCTCTAATTAAAGCCCTCAACCCTTCTGGCATTAAGGGACTAAATTACTCCCCAGAACGCTGGTTAATTTCCCCAGTAATTCTCTTTCTATTTATACACCTCTGAAAGAAGGTATGCTAATTCCCCATTAGTTGTTTCCAGATAAAAATGTAGGCTTTCTCCCTTGTGAAATACCCACAATCAAGTCCCTAAATGCTTATGTATACACACTTTAAAATATATTCTGTCCTTTGTATAATGGCAAAATAATGCTAGTATTCTACCATCATCACATATGTTTCCATTCTGTTTTCTTTTTCTGGTGATAATGATCCTGGTTTTACTCACTGCATCTATCCACTCTTTTTTTCTCCCCACGTAACCAGTCACATGCTTTTGCAAGATGATAGGTTTGTTTACAATAGAGTCAAGTCAATAAACAGAATACCATTTCCTTTTATATGTTAGCTTTCTCTGGCAACTGACTCTTCCCGCCTATCATCTTTCTGCCAAGTAAGTAATCTAACCCACAAAAACATGTATATACATCTGCATGTTTATAAGTACCTATATGTAACCAAATCCAAGTGAATATTTTATTCCCAAACTCATGAATATTCCTACATCCTTCATTGAGTCAGAGTGAGGCTGAAGGCTGGCAGTCAGCATGCCTTGGGCCTCTCCATAGAGCTGACTCAGTCAGTAACTACTTCAGACAAGTCTCAAGGCCTCCCTTGGTTTTGTTTTTCTTTTTCTTCTTATTGATAAAATACTGATTGGGGACTTATCTCTTACTTGCTTCCAGTTCTAGAACGTTTTGGTTATATGAGAAATGCAAATGTGGACATCACTCATTCAGATGAAAGAGTCATTTCTGTCTAATGACGAGAAGGGATGGTTAGCAGAAACCAGCCAGGGTAACTCTGCAGTGACAGGCAGTGAAAAGACTATTATTGCAGAGGAGGCTAAATTTTGAACAGGTGAATCTGTTTAATTATAGCTGCAAAGGATGGCCCCTCTACAGTCTGCAAGGAAGCAAGCAATCGAAATGTCGGTGAGAACTGCCAGTTCTGGGCACAAACAGCACCTCAGATCATCTCTTCTCCAGCTATTCAAAGTGTGGTCTATCAAAAACATGCAAAATATTATTACAAAAACATTCTTATGCTACAATCCAGAAAAAAATACCTGTTATCATTTTGGTATACTATTTCTTTTTCTATATGCATAACAAATTTTTATCTAAAACTATATTACACTTATGCATTTTGATCTGAAACACGTTTTTGAGGACATTATATTCAGTCATGAGGGGTATCCCGAGCTATAACCGAGCTCTGAGTTTTGGACACTGAAGCTCTTTCAAGTTTTTGCATATTATAAAAAATGTCATAGCAAATATACATAAAATTTAGGGTGCACTCTGATTAATTCCCCCAGGTAAACTCAACAAATAGACTGAGTCAATGGATATGGATATTTTTATAGCCTTCCTGATACATACTGTTAGACTGTCCTTCAAAATGGTTACACCAGGTTTTTAAAAAATTTAAAAATAAACTACATGAATCATCTCCTCCTATCTTTTAATGCAAGATAGATGAGGTCTGAATAAGAGACTAAGTTTCCTAGAAAACGAATAGCAGAAATGAACAAAATAAATAAATCACATAAATTAAATGACAATTAAATGACAAATCATAAATAATGGGCTTTACAGTCTGTAAATTTTGTTCTCTGAGTTATTTTTTAGGGTTTCTGACATTACTGCCTTGATCATGCTTATAATTAAAGTCTGTATTCTGATTTTAAATCATTGGTATTTAGAATCTGACCCTAAGTTAACTGTGAATCTAGGATATAGTCCCTAATGGCCACAAAAGTGAATTATTTCTATAAATGAGTGCTAGCTGGGGACAGAAATTGTCTTAAGAGAGACCTGAAAAATCTAATCAAGAAATGTTTCAAGCTTACAGTACAAATAGTGGTTAAGTTGTTCTAAATGCTATCTTGACCCCAAAACAAGCAAACAAAAAATATACCAAATCAAAAAGGGGGAGGGGAGAAAATTACAGGAAAAAGAAATCTAAAATAAGAGGTAAAATGCAGAAAGATCAAAATAAGGGGAAGAAAAGTAGAAACACTAAGTTGTATTCCATAAACATGAAAACCTCATTTAAAAGGAACGTTAACAGAGGTAACAGCAGAAAGTGCGGTCAGGGGCAGGAAGATGGAGAAAGTGAGACCAAAGTCAGTGGAACAAGCTGAGAGAAGAAAGTGAGCAAATGTCACTGGATATTACAGTACAGTGTTCTGGCTCACTTCTGTCTACGCTATTATTCAGCCACCTCAACTAAGCAGGACACAGCTGTGATCTGAAAGCCAGGGAGAAAAGGATTCCTACAACAGCCAAACTGCCAATCCCACTACAAAAGTTCCAGTCGTCACTTACACTCACACCTTAAATAAAATGTGCAAAAGTTTGCTTATGTTTTCTCCATATTAAATGTAAATGAGAAGCAAAGAGAGATTTCTAGAGACTGATACTCTGATAATCCTGTCACATTTACCAGTGATAAAGGGGACACACACACCATCACCCCTGCTGCCACCACCAACAAAAAGCTCAAGAACCAAGAAAGCAGTCGTCTGAAAACATCAGAAGGGACAAGAAACCCAGAGCCTCACAATTAGCCCCAAATGCACCAGAGGATGACATCCCTGAGCTATGAAATATATGTAAATTATAACTCGTGAGCTCTGTATAAAACAAGACGGACAGACCACATGTAAACTGGTTTCCACTCTGGATGATTAAAATTAAGAAGTGGTGATAGGCTTCAATACCTGAAAATTTTACTTACGTTAAACATATCATTCTCGAGCCAAGATAATTAGTACAACAAAAATAATGAAACAGAGCTACAGATGGTAAAGAAACTGTAATTTTGAACATAAAGACGATTTTAAATCTATCTGCATGATATAAACATGGTAATTAGTGAGCTAGCATGGCTGGTATCTCATCAATCCATATCTGATGTGCAATGATCTGGCATTCTGAGCACACTGACATGTCACATTGGCCTGGGCACGTGTCCTTTGTGTCACTTGAATACTGGTCACTTGTGTTCCTCCAAGAAGTTAAAAATCCACGTTAAAAAAACAAAACAGGGCGCCTGGGTGGCTCAGTTGGTTAAGCGACTGCCTTCGGCTCAGGTCATGATCCTGGAGTCCCGGGATCGAGTCCCACATCGGGCTCCCTGCTCGGCAGGGAGTCTGCTTCTCCCTCTCCCACTCCCCATTTGTGTTCCCTCTCTCGCTGTGTCTTTCTCTGTCAAATAAATAAATAAAATCTTAAAAACAAAACAAAACAAAACAAAAAACCCTGCCATCACCTGGATCCCTTCCACATTTCACACAATACTAAAATTTGCACTTTTTCTCCAACAGTTACAAAAGAGAATTGCAATAATTTTAGTACTCAATCAACTATTGATATTTGGCAAAATTTTGACACTATGTGCCAGGTCCCAGCTCGATGTAAATGTAGCAGATTTAATCATAGAAACTTACAGACTCCAGAGTTACCTACAATGCAGTTTTATCATCAGTTTTCCATTTTTCAGCCACCTTCTCCAGTACTCACAAAGATAGCAATGTATATTCTTTACCTGGTGTCATCATCATTAAAAACAGATAAAATTCCAGCTTTCTTTTTCTTTGTGTTTGAATGAAATATAATTTCATCCATATTATATTATCTTCCTCAGAGAAACACCATGCTAGAATTAAGAAAATACTAAGAAATTTCAGCCTAAAAGAGTAATATTTTGAGATACTATGTGAAAAATACTCAGAAGAGTATTTAATAAAACTAGAAGTTTTATTACTAAAAATTTGTTTTACAGTGCAGCTGATTTTGAAATGAAGATAAACCAGATAACAGCTGACCAAACATAGATTATCTAAGACCTTCCTTTAGAATATTTATATCTATATCCGGTGAACCATCCAGCTTTCCAGCTTCCAATGTCATGGTAACATGTAAGAAAATGCACAGAAAATAAATACACCTATCAAGTCATCTTGCCCAAAAGCCTGTGCTTAAATCCGACCAAGCCTCTATATCTTTCAATTAACACAAAAAATGTAGGACACAGAAGAACATCATGGGGATGCAATCATCAAAATCTAGTCCATGAGAAATGCTATAGGACAGATGACCCAGTTTCTTCAACAGAGCAATTCATAGGGTATCTCAACACTTCATTAAAACCCAGAGGTTCAATCTCACCTCCCTGAAACCTGCCAGAGTTTCTTCCTTACAACATGGCACTTTGATCACTGTGCTGTATCACGAGCGTGCCTCCCATTACAGGATTAGTATATGGAGTACAACAAAGTAGCTTAGGACAGGGCTATGAAGCTAGATAGCCTGAGTTGAAATCCCAGCTTCATCCCCTCAGTTAACTCATCTATAAAATGGAGAATATACCACCTGCTGCTCAAAGAAATTTTAAGCATTCAGTGAGAAAATATATGTAAGCAGTTAGAACAATGCTTGGTATATCTTAGGCAGTTAGTAACTAATGAATAAATGAAAACCACATGCAAAAAAATTCAATAACTGTGAATTTCACCTCATTTGATTTCATTTAATCTTATAGTATCTAAGGAACAGTAAAATGACAAAATGGCCAACAGTAGGAAAAAATTTAGGAAAAATGAACTAAAAAACAGGCTCCAAATTTCTAAGTAACTGCTTAACTCTAAGCTACCAAGGAAAAGTTTAATCACAGCAAATATCACCTGTTGAAGAATAAATTTATTTTAAAGAGGGCTAATCTTGACCAAACCTGGTAAAAATAGTCACATTTATTTTCTAACTAAAAGCACTCAACAATCATCTCCAAGCAAAATTTTTGATAATATGGAAAACATTTTTAAAAGACTTTTTTCAAGGTCAACATTACTGTTCTGAATCTCTTTAGTTTTGTTGCTTTATTTCAAAACAAAAAACAAAAAAAACCTAAACAAATTAGGTGAACCAATTTTTCCATCTCAACAGTAGGCGGCATAACTTAAATACTCTGAGCCAGTTGCTACAAAGTGAATGATGTAGTAAAAACAAAAAAGTTCAATACAGCAACATCCAAAATTCTGAAAACATTAATTTAAAACTGTTCAAACGTCCTGATTTGAAAATACAATCTTTCAAGTAATATGGAAGTACTTACATCTCAGTTTGTCCAGCATTTTTCCACCACACATGGTTGCTAACATAGCTTTAACTGAAAATACGGTCAGCTTGCCTCGGCCCTCACTGCAAAATAAATTATATTAGAAACAATTGCTAACTGGAACCACAAAAGTAATCAAAGCTATCACTAAATATCAAGCAATTAGTAAGCTGGCCCTTACCTTTATATGCTACAATATTACCTTGGATTTTTAGAAACCTTGGATTTTTTTCCTTTGCAGAATTAAGGCCTCGTGTATGTTAGGTAAACAGGGTTAAAACTACCTGAGTTATTTGGAAAGGAGCTACAAACATTCTGCAAAGAAATTTCTACTGGCTCTGGACACAGAGGCCAAATGGATGAACCAGAAGTAAATTTCCTATCAATTTAGCCTATGAAATCCACAGCTGAGTTGTTTTTAGTATTCAAAACTGAGGCACCACCTGGCCTGAATAATTCAGAAATGTGTCCTCCCACCATGATAACAACAGTTTATTGTTATGTACTCAATCCACAGGGTGCACACTGCTCTAAAGATTTTATTTTACATTCATCTTTGTTTTTACTGTGACAACCTTATGTTACCATGTGTTTATCCTAAGAAGCTTGATCTGTCTCAGATCTTCCCATACTACCACTGTGAGAAAAGTGAAGGGGAAAGAATAGGAATATGAATTCTTTTTCAGTGACTGGAAAGATGAAATACAGAACATATACGAATTATCCAAAACAGTGCTGTACATCATCTGCAGAGCCAAAGCAATGTCAGCAAGCCCCCCTGACCCGACATGTCCACTGCTCCAGCCAGCCAGCCACGCCCTTGCTCACAGCAGGTGAAAACATCACTAGCCAGCTTTTAAAGTCATCACATGCAAATGAACAATGGGCTTTTGTGTTCATTTTATAAAGCTTGTGTGTACAAAGTGTCACAGTAAGAGTAAAATAGCTTTACAATAACGAGAACTACATCATCTTGGTTTTGAAAAGCAAGTGTCATTCTATTTATCTTTACTGATGGTCCTAATAGAGTGTCTTCCATTTTCCAAAACTTTTATACAGTAAGATGACACCTGGAAAAGGCAAATGGTCTATAAACCTGAAGGTTCACAGTGAAAAGATCTCCAGGAAATACTAATGTTTGTTACAGTCTGATTTTCAACTATTAAACTCATTAAGTTTATTCATAAGATAAAACAGGAATCCCTGCAATTAGCTAAAATTAGGATGGGGTTTTTATTTTATTTTATCTTTTAAAGATTTTATTTGTAAGTGATCTCTACACCCAACATGGGGCTCAAACTTACAACCTGGAGATCAAGAGTTGCATGGTCTACTGACTGAGCCAGCCAGGCACCCCAGGACTGGGTTTTTAAATATGTAGTTCTTTAGAAATGCAGACACTGCTCCATATCTTTTATGGCACCTGCCAATATAAGGAATATGCCCATGTCAAATACCTACTGTACTGTATAAGCAACATGAGTAGCTATGAAGAACATCAACTATTAAAAGGAATGGATTTCTAAGACTGATACAGAACTTTTACAGTGGACATTTCTTTTTGGTCACCAACCGTCCAAATGCCACGTGTATATTTAAGCATGCCCTATCTTCTGAGACCAATACATGTCCCACCACCAAAGTGTGAAGAAAGAAAAAAAGAAAACCTCACTTGTTTGCTTTCCCATTTTTCTTCAACACTAAGACATGGGCACATGCCCCAAGTTCCACCAATAAGATAAACCCACTCGAGCCCACATAGAAAATGATCAGCTTTTAGAAGCAGGAACTTCAAAGAGTCCACCTGCAAGGGTGGCCACACCCGGAGGGGTTACATGCAGCTTCCTGAGGCAGCAGAGACGGATTCCTCCGGCAGGTCCCCAGCCCAGCGGCAGTGGTATCCGGAGCACAGGCAACAACATCTGTGCTCCAGAGAGGTGCAGAGGTGTCTTCACAAGACCCGTTTTGTGACAAAATTTTGAGATATTTTTCTGGGCAGTGTGGTCATCAAGCCCACTTTCCCAACCTTCTCAGAGAGTCTGTGGGTCACGCATATCCTTTTAACAGATTAGCCAGAGATGGTTTCTATTGCTTACAGCTAAGAACCATGATGGATGCATGGGCGCCTGGGTGGCTCAGTTGGTTAAGCGACTGCCTTCGGCTCGGGTCATGATCCTGGAGTCCCGGGATCGAGTCCCGCATTGGGATCCCTGCTCAGCGGGGAATCTGCTTCTCCCTCTGACCCTCTTCCCTCTTGTGCTGTCTCTCATTCTCTCTCTCTCAAATAAATAAATAAAATCTTTAAAAAAAAAAAAAAAAAGAACCATGATGGATGCGATTTCTATCCTGAAGTAAAGCAGCCCAGAAAGATGAAGCAACGAGAGAGAACATTCCTGAAGTCCAGAGTGCAAGGAGTAGTGCCTGGTGACCAGCAGAGTGAGAACAAAGAGGAAGTGCTCACCAACAGTAGATGAAGCCCTGATGCACAGCAAACAACATTTTTTAAGGTAAACTTGCTCAAACGTTTTTTTGCAGACACCGATTTCATGATGTGAGAATATCCAGAAGAAAGTAAAAAATTAATCTTAGAAGAGGTTTCCATAAAAATCAGGATATCGATTACCTCTGGGAGAAAGGAAAGGGGTGACACAGAAAGGACCACACCAGTGGCCCCCGGATGCTGACAGTACTCTGTCCCTCAGCCGCCAGAGAACCTACATGGGGCATCTGCTTCCCAGTGCCACATTACACTGGACTTCACTTACTATCTTTCTGTAGGCATTTTCTAATTCTCAATAAAAACTGTTTAAAAAATAAATCCTGGGAAAGTGAAGGTTACCATTACTGGACCCAGCTAATGGTTTAAGGTGGAAAATGAAGGGAAACCCACAGGTTAAAAGACATTTAAGATATATAAACTGCATGCATAAAATTAATAATAAAATGCATAAAAATAATAAAAATATTAAAAATACCAAGACCCAGGCCCTATCCTTAAATGCCGATTAATAGAAAACTGGCTATTTATGCTATCATAAAAAAGAAGGAAAAATAATATATGAAAGATAAAGAATTATATACAAGATAGATTACCAAGTTAAAAAAAAAAAAAGGCAAAGCATGGAATAAAATAACTGCTGTAATGCTATCTAGCATTCTGGGAAAGGATGTTGAAAAATAGAACACTGGTTGCATCCAGGGTGGAAAGAAGGCAGCCAAAGGAAAGCATGGCAAGGTGGACACTTTTCACTTTAGGTATTAAATATGCTTATGCTAGAAAAGATGGTTCTCAATTCAATAATCTTAAGACACTAGAAAAAGAACAGCAAATTAAACCCAAAACAAGCAAAAGGGAAAAAATAATATGCTTAAGAGCAGAAACCAGTGAAATTAAAAACAGAAAAACAACAGAGAAAAATTAATGAAGCCAAAAGCTGGTTCTCTGAATAAATCAATAATATTGATAAATCTCTAGCCACACTGACTAAGAAAAAGAGAAAGAAGACACAAATTACCAATATCAAGAATGAAAGAACAGTTATCAACCACGCATTCTACAAACATGACAGAAATGAGGAAATATTATAAAGCCCATAAATTCAACAACTTAAATTAGAACAGCACAGACACAAACCACTCCTTGAAAAACACCAACCATTACAGTTCATGCAAGAACAAACAGGTCACCTCAATAGGCCCATATCCATCACAGAAACTAAATCTGTATTTTTAAGCCTTCCAAAAAAGAAAGCTCCTCATGCAGAAAGCGATGCTGGTGAATTCTAAACATTTAAAGAAGAAATAATTGCATTTCTATGCTAACTCTTTGAGGGCATAAAAAAAGGAGAAACACTTCCCAAATCTTTTATGAGACCTGCATTATTTTGATACCAAAAACACAACAGTCCATTACAACAAAAGAAAACAAGTTGGTATCCCTCATTAATGTGGATACAAAAATCCAGATGCCTAAATCCCAGCCCGTGCTTGGTATTTTTAAACAGTTTCTCGGGTTATTTTGATATGCACCCAGAGCTGAGAACTACCAACACAAAACTTTGAAGGCAGGACTAAGACTTTAGCTTTTATTTTGCAGGTAATGATAAATCAAAGGACATAATAAAAGATGAAAGAGAATAAATCATATTGTAATTGTATAACTCTATCTCCGAATCTCATGTTCTTCCTTCAAAGACAAAAAATGAGATCTATTCCTGCTGCAAAGAAGAAACTGAGAAACTGAGGCCATTTGTGCAAACGGGAGAGTGTAGCAGAGCCCAGCATACTGGCAAGAGAGTCAGGTCAAAGCCAACTCTGTTATCAATAAATGCCCATCAATAAATGCCACATGGCAGGGCGCAATGGGTACTGACACCTTTACTTCTGAAAATTATTATAGTAACACTTTTTTCCTAATCTTCAAAATGCTTTAGAAACATTAGTATTTACAACACTTCCCATTCCTTATTCAAATATTCTTTAACTCAGCTCAAATGCAAATATTCGTTCTAGATTCAGAAAGTCTTATATTCAAATATGGGATAACAATATCCTTCTCAATTGACCTGAATCAGCACTTGTATCCTTTTCCACTCATTAGGATTATTAATAGTCTCTATGGCTGGTCTCAGATCAAGCAGCCCACAGATGTATTAAAAGAGTGCATCACCCCTCAACTAATTCTTATCCATAATGTGTGGTTCCTCAACTCATCACCTCTCAGATCTACTTTCCAACCATTTTTCCATTCACAACAGCCACATGGCAATCTCCACACATAATCTCCCACCCACTGCACCATGAATCTCCTCTCTGCCTGCATGCTCTTTTGAGGTGTGCAAACATCTGTGTGCTTCGCAATACATATCTTATGGAGGGTGAGGGGCTATGCATGTACATGTCAGTGGGTAACTCAACAGGATAAAGAGAATATTACAGGCAAGGTTGAGGGTGTTTTAAGTAAGGAGAAAGGAGAGGCATCTGAGATTAAGGATCATGAGGACCTGCAGACAGAGAGATCTGGGAATGATGTTTACTGAGCCCTTGTGTTCAAGAATCTGTTTATAAGTATATAACTGTGCAT